GGCCGTGGCGGTGTCTGCCCGGCCCCGGCCCCGGCCCCCGCCCGGCGACCCAGGACCCCCGGGCTGCACGGGGGGTGCAAATGTGGCACCGGGGGCAGGGCGGGGGGGGAACTGTGCCCCCTCTCCTTCCCCTTGTCCTTCGGCCAGGGCACGGCTGGGGTGGGGAAGGGGGTAAGATGGGCATGGGAATGGGATGGGAATGGGAATGGGAATGGGGATGGGAGTGGAGTTGACAGTAAGGATGGGGGTGCGATGGAGATGGAAATGGGTTAGGATGAGGATGGAGAAGGGGATGGAATGGGTTGAGAATGTAGGTAGGATGAGGATGGGAGTGGGAGCAAGGTGGGATGGGGATGGGGATGAGGAAAGAGATTGGAGAGAGGACAGGGATGGAGATGAGATGGGGATGGAAGGGGGATGAGATGGGATGAGGATTCTTCCCTTTTCTCCCACTCTCCTGGCGCAGGATGGGCTTCTAGGGCTCCTTCCAGCCAGGAACCTGGGCCAGCTCAGGGTCATGATGGAGCACAGAGCTTGAGGGACTTTTTGTTGCATAGAGCAAGCAGCTGCCTGGGAGAATGTTTGGAGCAGCACGGGGAGAGCAGGAGGGTTTGGAGGTCCACCCAAGCATCAGGTATATGTGGGGAGAGACCCTCCCAGCTCTGCATGTTCCTGCTCTCTCCCCACGGCGCCCTGCTGGGCTCTGCATGCCAGGGGCCCATCTGGGAAGACTCAGCTGCAGCCAAAGCAGCCTTATGCAAGTGTCCCTCCCTGCTCCTCGAACACCATGTCCCAACCCGGCCCAGCCCCGCAGGAGACTCACAGATAGCTGAGTGGATGGGGTTTTCCATGTAGACCTCAGAGCCCAGTGCCCCCACGGATCCCGATCAGCCTGCAGCTCCGGCCAGGCTGGGCTTAGCCCACCTGGGGCTGTTTGGGACCACTCATGGGCCCGGGGACCTTTTGGGGAGGAAAAGCCATGCTACAAAACGGAGGTTCCCACTGGAGAGCAGCACGAGTCACAGCTGCCAGGCCCGAGCAAGCAGTGGCTCAGTGCACGGGGATCTGTGCGTGGCAGGAGCGAGAGGCAGAAGCCTGCCCACGGGCAGCAAGGGCTGCTTGGGCTGTGCCTGCAGCAGCCGCCTGAGGGTACGTGCACAAAGGCGGCACCGGCGCTGACACCCTGTCCCAGCTGGATGCTGCCCTGCAGCAGAAGCCGGAAGAGGAGAGAGATGCAGCCTGAGGATGAGCCAGTGACGAGACTGGGGCCTGCGGGGGTTGTCCCCCAGGAACCCCTGCAGCAGGGTGGGTGGGGTGAGCAGAGGGGCTGCCCCCCTTTTGGGACTTTGCCTAGGCCCAGGGGGGTGCTGAGTGTTGGAAAGGTGCTCAGAGCTGGGGGTCCTGGTCCAGCCTGCCTGCTTTCCCACAGCTTAGCAGTACCTGTCCTTCTGCCATGCCTCAGTTTCCCCTCTGCAGTGTTTCATGTCTCCTAGGAAGGGAGTTTCTCCAGAGCAGGGCCAGGCTAAGACCCCAGCGCTCCTACAGATAGACCCCAGCTGGGGATGGGGCTGCAGGGTCCACACGGCAGTCAGGATCAGGCCCCAGCTCAGGCCAGGCGGAGCAGAAGGGAGTTATTTCTAGCACACATGCATGCCAGGACCAGGCTCTGGCAGAGCTGCTGGCAAGCCTGCCCACTGTGGGCACGCCGCAGCCGTGCCCCTTGCCAGCTCCGCT